AGGAGAACTGAAGAGTGAAAATGAAGATTCCTGGCCTAGACGGCTAGCTAACTTGTAGAACTAACCAAACCTGGAGGTCATGTAAAGACGTAGTTCCTGAAAAAGAAAGAGGAGTTCACCAGGCTTGGAAACTGTTCAGATCAAATAATTTTTTAGTAAGCATCTGTTCCATACAGAATTGGACCACGGGCAAGAGTTGAGTGTAATTTAAGAAAGTTTAAGTTTGGAATAAAAATTAACTCTGGTCAACTTGTATATTTCTGTGTTACTACGTTTTGTTTTTGTTGGTTTTCCTTTAGTTTTCTGTTAAAAAGTCTTTTGGAACAAATTTTAACCATGAATTGTGCTAACCTGAGGAAAAAAAGACTTCTAAAAAAACTAAGAGATTAAAGGACCAGTCTTTACCTAGAGATTACATATCCTGGTACCGTAAAATGAAAGCAACTCTAGAACTTAGAGAAGACCCATGGAATTGGGTTTATAAAAGGGAGGAAGCCTGAAGAAAAAATACTGGGTCAGCCACAGGCACATAGTGCAGTTAGAAAGGGCAAGGCTTTTGGAGTTAAGACAATCTTTTTTCTTGAAGACACATAAAAGTAAAAAAAGTTTATTTTATCCTCTTGAAGGACAGAAAAAATGATAGAGAAAGAGAAAGAAAGAAAAAGAGAGCAGAGAGATGGCATGGCATCCCAAAGAAAGAGAAGGGGATGCCAGCCTAGTTAAGACAAACTTTGGCTCAAATACTGACTCCACAGTGGTGATATAATTTCTTGGAACATCAGTTTTCTCACCTGTAAAATGGGGATGATAATACTTGCCGAATAGGAAAGTTCTTGGGATGACATATACCCACGTAGTATGAGACACCTGGTATGCAGCCAGTTCTCAGTAAATGCCTGCCCCGTTTTCTAATGCCTGTGTGCATGCTCACTGCTCTGGTGTGACAGGGCACTGTCTATGTCACCCACCCCACTTGCCTTCTCAGACTTGGTTCTTTTACTTACTTATTTATCTTCGTTTTCATAGAGCTGAGGTAATTTGTATATTTGGTAAAGATACAGAAATAAAAAGAACAATTCCCAATGATGGAACTCTGGGTTATCAGATAAATGTCTATTTTAATAATGCAAAGTTACAATTTTAAAATGTTGAATGGATTTTCAAA